CCTTATCCGTTTTTTCTGCAACTTTTCAAGCTCCTGATGATATGTTGATTGCAACACGAAAGGCCTATATATATATATATATATATATATATATATATATATATATATATATATATAATATATATATATATATATATATTATATATATATATATATATATATATATATATATATATATATATATATACCTGGAGGTTATTCCGGGGATCAACGCCCCCGCGGCCCGATCCATGACCAGGCCTCCCGATGGATCAGGGTCTGATCAACTAGGCTGTTACTGCTGGCCGCACGCAGTCCAACGTACGAGCCACAGCCCGGCTGATCCGGCACTGACTTTAGGTATCTGTCCAGCTCTCTCTTGAAGGCAGCCAGGGGTTTATTGGCAATTCCCCTAATGCTTGATGGGAGGCTGTTGAACAGTCTTGGGCCCCGAACACTTATGGTGTTTTCCCTTAGTGTACCAATGGCGCCCCTACTTTTTATTGGGGCATTTTGCATCGCCTGCCCAGTCTTTTACTTTCGTAGGGAGTGATTTCTGTGTGCAGATTTGGGACCATTCCTTCCAGGATTTTCCAAGTGTAGATTATGATATATCTCTCCCTCCTGCGTTCCAACGAGTACAAGTCAAGTGCTTCCAAGCGTTCCCAGTATTTAAGGTGCTTGACAGAACTTATACGTGCAGTAAAGGATCTCTGTACACTCTCTAGATCAGCGATTTCACCTGCTTTGAATGGAGATGTTAATGTACAGCAGTATTCCAGCCTAGAGAGAACAAGTGATTTGAAAAGGATCATCATTGGCTTGGCATCTCTCGTTTTGAAAGTTCTCATTATCCATCCTATCATTTTCTTTGCACGTGCGATCGTGGCACTGTTGTGATCCTTGAAAGTGAGATCCTCAGACATTACTACTCCCAGGTCCCTTACATTATTTTTCCGCTCTATTGTATGGCCGGAGTCAGTAGTATACTCTGTTCTAGTTATTATCTCCTCCAGTTTTCCATAAAGGAGTAGTTGGAATTTGTCCTCATTGAACATCATATTGTTTTCCGTTGCCCACTGGAAAACTTTGTTTATATCTTCTTGGAGGTTAACCGCGTCCTCAGCAGATGACAGCCTCATGCAGATCCTAGTATCATCCGCAAAGGATGATACGGTGCTGTGGTGTATATCTCTGTCTATGTCTGATATGAGGATAAGGAATAAGATTGGGGCGAGTACTGTGCCTTGTGGAACAGAGCTCTTCACTATGGCAGCCTCCGATTTAACTCTGTTGACCACTACTCTGTGTTCGATTTGTTAGGAAGTTGAAGATCCATCTCCCCACTTTCCCAGTTATTCCTTTAGCACGTATTTTATGGGCTATTACGCCATGATCACATTTGTCAAATGCTTTTGCAAAGTCTGTGTATATTACATCTGCATTCTGATTTTCTTCCAGTGCATCCAAGGCCATGTCATAGTGATCCAGTAGTTGTGAGAGGCAGGAGCGACCTGCCCTGAACCCATGTTGCCCTGGATTGTGCAGATTTTGGGAATCCAGGTGATTTGCAATCCTGCTTCTTAGCACTCTTTCAAAGATTTTTATGATGTGGGACGTCAGAGCTATTAGTCTATAGTTCTTAGCTAATGCTTTGCTGCCACCTTTGTGGAGTGGGGCTATATCCATTGTTTTGAGTGACTGTGGAATTTCACCCATGTCCAAGCTCCTCCTCCATAGTGTACTTAGGGCACGCGAGAGGGGTTTCTTGCAGTTCTTAATGAAAACAGAGACCCACGAGTCTGGGCCCGGAGCTGAGTGCATAGGCATGTTGTCAATGGCTTTTTCGAAATCTATCGGAGTTAGAGTAATGTCGGAAATCTGGCATACATTTACGGAGTTTTGAGGCTCATTCATGAAGAAATCATTTGGGTCGTCGATCCTCAGACCGATTAGTGGTTCACTAAACACAGAGTCGTACTGGGATTTCAATATTTCACTCATTTCCTTGTTGTCATCTGTGTAAGTCCCATCCTGTCTGAGTAAGGGCCCGATACTAGATATGGTATATGCCTTGTTTTTGGCATATGAAAAGAAATATTTTGAATTTCTTTCAATTTCACTAATAGCTTTAAGCTCCTCCTGCCTCTCCTGGTTCCTGTAAGAGTCATTTAACTTAAGTTCGATAGTATCCACTTCCCTGGTCAGCGCCTCCTTTCGTGTATCAGATATTCTAGCACTCCTGAGGAGCTCAGTGACTCTTCGTCGTCTTCTGTAGAGGGAGCGTCTTTCTCTCTCCAGTTTACTCCTGCTCTTCTTCTTTCTTAGGGGAGTATGCCTAGAACATGCTTCGGCTGCCAGGAAGTTGATCCTTTCAAGGCACTGGTTTGGATCCATGTCATTTAAGATATCTTCCCAACATGTTTCGTTTAGGACATGGTTTACCTGGTCCCAGTTGATGTTCTTGTTGTTGAAGTTGTATTTTGTGAAGACACCTTCACAGGTACATGCATTCGGCTGATCAGGACCCCTATGCATGTACGTCTGGACTTCAATTAGGTTGTGATCGGAATTAGTTGTTTTTGATATTCTTATGTCTCTTATTAGGTCCTCATTATTTGTGAAGATAAGGTCAAGTGTGTTTTCTAGTCTTGTTGGCTCCACTATCTGCTGCCTTAAGGTGTGTTTTTCGCAGAGACTTAGTAGCTCATGTGTGTGTGACCTTTCATCTGCGCTACCTCCGGGGATTGTTTCTGCTATAACATTATTTGCTACATTCTTCCATTTTGTATGCCTTAGGTTGAAATCACCAAGCAGTAAGATGTTTGGGGATGGAGCTGGAAGGTTTCCCAAACAGTAATCAATTTTCAGTAGCTGTTCCTTGAACTGTTGTGAGGTTGCATCTGGTGGCTTGTATACAACCACAATGACTAGGTTTTGGTTCTCGATATTTATTGATAGAACTTCAACTACCTCATTTGTGGTGTATATATATATATATATATATATATATATATATATATATATATATATATATATATATATATATATATATATATATATATATATATATATATATATATGCAACCAAAGTGTCAAAGGCACTTGTCGCTTAGAAGTAAGCCTCCTGGCCAGCTATGTGTGTGTGTGTGTGTGTACTCACCTAGTTGTGGTTGCAGGGGTCGATTCATAGCCCCTGGCCGCTAATAGGTCACTCTCCCTGCACCATGAGCTTTATCATACCTCTTCTTAAAGCTATGAATGGATGCTACCTCGACTACATCGCTTCCCAAACTATTCCACTTCCTGATTACTCTGTAGCTGATGAAATACTTACTAACATGCCTGTGATTCACCTGAATCTTCAACTTCCAACTGTGTCCCATCTCTGGAACATTCTATCTCTGTCCACCTTGACAATTCCTTTCAGTATTTTATATGTCGTTATCATGTCCATCCTGTCTCTCCTGTCCTGCAGTGTCGTCAGGTCGATTTCCCTTAACCTCTCCTCCTAGGACATACCCCTTAGCTCTGGGACTAGTCTTGCTGCAAACCTTTGCACTTTTTCTAGTTTCTTTACATGCTTGGCTAGGTGTGAGTTCCAAACTGGTGCCGCATACTCCAATATGGGCCTAACGTACACAGTGTACAGGGTCCTGAACGATTCCTTATTAAGATGTCGGAATGCTGTTCTGAGGTTTGCTAGGCGCCCATATGCTGCAGCAGTTATTTGGTTGATGTGCTCTTCAGATGTGCCTGGTGTTATACTCACCCCAACATCGTTTTCCTTGAGTGAGGTTTGTAGTCTCTGGCCCCCTAGACTATACTCCGTCTGCGGTCTTCTTTGCCCTTCCCAATCTTCATAACTTTGCACTTAGTGGGGTTGAACTCCAGGAGCCAATTGCTGGACCAGGTCTGCAGCCTGTCCAGATCCCTTTGTAGTTCTGTCTGGTCTTCTATCGAGTGAATTCTTTTCATCAACTTCACGTCATCTGCAAACAGGGACACCTCAGAGTCTATTCCTTCCGTCATGTCGTTCACAAATACCAGAAACAGCACTGGTCCTAGGACTGACCCCTGTGGGACCCCGCTGGTCACAGGTGCCCACACTGACACCTCGGCACGTACCATGACTCGCTGCTGTCTTCCTGACAAGTATTCCCTGATCCATTGTAGTGCCTTCCCTGTTATCCCTGCTTGGTCCTCCAGTTTTTGCACCAATCTCTTGTGTGGAACTGTGTCAAACGCCTTCTTGCAGTCCAAGAATATGCAATCCACCCACCCCTCTCTCTCTTGTCTTACTGCTGTCACCATGTCATAGAACTCCAGTAGGTTTGTGACACAGGATTTCCCATCCCTGAAACCATGTTGGCTGCTGTTGATGAGATCATTCCTTTCTAGGTGTTCCACCACTCTTCTCCTGATAATCTTCTCCATGATTTTGCTTACTATACAAGTCAGTGACACTGGTCTGTAGTTTAATGCTTCATGTCTGTCTCCTTTTTTAAAGATTGGGACTACATTTGCTGTCTTCCATGCCTCAGGCAATCTCCCTGTTTCGATAGATGTATTGAATATTGTTGTTAGGGGTACACATAGCGCCTCTGCTCCCTCTGTGTGTGTGTGTGTGTGTGTGTGTGTGTGTGTGTGTGTGTGTGTGTGTGTGTGTGTGTGTGTGTGTGTGTGTGTGTGTGTGTGTATGTATGTGTGTGTGTGTATGTGTGTGTGTGTGTGTATGTGTGTGTGTGTATGTGTGTGTGTATGTGTGTGTGTGTGTGTGTATGTGTGTGTGTGTGTGTGTATGTGTGTGTATGTGTGTGTGTGTGTGTGTGTGTGTGTGTGTGTGTGTGTGTGTGTGTGTGTGTGTGTATGTGTGTGTGTACGTGTGTGTGTGTGTGTGCATTTTCAGAAATAAAGTTCCTTCCTCTTGTGAATCCTGAATGAGGAACAGTAATAACAAAGCCAGGGACAACATCCTAATTTTATTTTCTTGAAACCTCATGGAATCTCAAAGTCCATCATCAGTTCTAAAAGATCAATAAACGAATACTAAATACAGTAGCTTCCCTATATTAATGATCCATTAAACAACAAGGCTTCAAAGTAAAAAAAAAATAACTAAATACTTCACAATTTTAGCCTAACAGTGTTACAATAACTAACCGAACCAATATAATAACATTATGCATAAACTCACACGCGACATATTCAGCCGAGGCTTCATTCTTGCTGTGTGAAACGATCCAGAGATATTGAGATCGAATCCCTGTGGTGTTGAAATCAGTTCTGTGAAATCATATGACAAACAGTGAACAGTTAAGTGGTAATGATCTCTCTATCTTATTAACGGTTTATGGTGTATATATCCTTATTCAGAGCGGCACGATGCTCTTTTGTTTATTTTGTCCTAGTTCTATGACATGTCAGTGTATGTATAGATTTGGAGTGGTAAGGGATATTACCTGAGTTTCCTGTTGGCTTTTGTGAAGGGGATGTTGTGTCACCGTAACATACACAAGAAATTAATGTCGCATTACTAGATCATCTACGTATGAAGGTGCTGTAGTTACTAGACAGTCTATGTGAGAGGAGTACTGAGTCACCCGAACACCTCTGAGAGGGGTATTGCACTTTTAGAATATATAAGAGAGGTACTGTGTTCTCAGAGCCAGTAATAAGATGGTTTGCTACAGAAACACCTGTTTGAGAGGCGGTATGGCTACCAATCTAACTGTGTGGCAGGGGTATTACTACTCGAACACCTGATCGGCAGGAAGAATGGTGTACAGCGAGGTGTGTAGTGAGGAAAATGTGAGAAAGATCCCCTTGTGTTATATTGTACATCTCCCTATCCAAAGTAGCCATTGCCCCAGTAGCCGCCACCGTTGCCGTAGTCACCATAGCCCCCATAGCCGAGGGTGTTGCCGCCGTATCCATTATAACCGCCGTAGCCGCCGTAGCCGCCGTAGCCGCCGTAGCCGCCGTAGCCGTTATAACCGAGACCATTGTAGCCTCCCCAGTCACCCCAGCCGCCCCAGCCGAGACCGTTGTTGCCGTAACCGAGACCGTAAATACGTTGTGGAATAGGTTTCGCTCTCGACTGTGGTCTCGCTGTGGGCTCCGGTCTGGCCACAACAAGACCCACCAACAGGACAATAATCTGGCGGTGTTGAAAAAATGCAAGAGTGAACTTCAGTAAAAAACAGTAACAGATAAATGCTAGAACCATTATTTTTTTTTTTCGAAAGTCAAAGTTTTGGAGCTATATATGAATTTTGAATAATATATTAAGGCGGTGTCGTTTTTTTTTTTAATAAAAATTCTGACTAAAGAAAAATACAGAATTATTCGTGTTTTCATAATTGTCAGGAAAATACACGTTTTGTGGCAAAAATCATTGACTCACTGTCAAATTGTTTATACAACTTAATGTTAAATATGTGTAATGAATAAGTATGTAGCAGAGATATACATAAAGGCTTGCTGATCATCGACCGATTTCTCAGCGCTTTCTGACTTTCATACCTGAGTATCGATTACTTCTGTATCAGGAATCCATGTTTACGCAATAATCTCAGTTGCATTTGTGTACATATAAGTTCTGTTTTCCTGTAGTAACAGTGACGTAGTAGACAACAGTGAGACAACCACTTGTGATCATCTCTAAAGGAGCATATGTGGTGTTGATGTCATATGAGTTATTAGAACAAACTTATATTTTATTTCTCCATCAACAAGTGAACATTGCAACATATCATGCGACTGCCAGGCATGTTCTATGAATCTAAGAATTCATACGTTTGAGCGAACTTTATTAATATATATTTTGCCTGAGAATTTTTTTTATGTTTGCAAACCTTGATAAATTAATTTTCATTCTTGACCATTTGAAGCCACACATTATAATGTCAGACTTCATAAAAAAATATTAAACTTTTAGTTCTATGATACAATTATCTGTGTCTGATATTCCCTTAAAGTCACTACATTTACACTTAATTAATTTTTGCATTCAAAACTGGGTTTCTTTATACTTCTTTGTCAATATTTTTTGACTTTCACTTTGTGAGTGCAGATTTTAATGGCATATATAAAATTTTACCTTAAAAATTGTAGCAATGTGTCATATTCAGGAAGGAACTTTAAAGTATCAATATCTCTACATCTGGTTCACAATATTTCAATGTTCTGGCCACGTACAATGAAAATAGAATAATAACTGAGACAGCCTCTGCTGTCATACTGAGAGATCCATTTGACAGTGTAACATAGCGATTTTTTTTTCATATAATATTCAAATCTTGTAAATCTAGTGTATACTAGCACAAGAAACAACAAATGTAAACATAAAAATGGTAAACCATGACTGCATAAATAACATTCGGATTCATATCACCACTTACACATGTATAGGTAAGCCAACATTGATTAGTCACATATACAGTATGTGTTTACCTTCATTTACTAAATACTTATTCTTTACTGTATTCTTACATTTCTTATATAACAGGTTATGCATATTTCTTAAAACTGAGAGCGTTATGTTTGGATATAACATTATCTGGTAGATATATTTATGAAAAATATAAAAATCTGTAGTATTTATTCTCTTTCCAAAAATTTTATTCTCATGGGCTCTTGTACTATGGATTTCGGAAATTATTGAAATCTATAAAACATAATTATTTAAGATCGTAAAACACTTTATAAAATATTGGACATCTGTGAAACTCGTTAATATTTTTTGCCTCTGTTGCTAATCTATATAAAACAGTTAATAATATAACAAATCTCCGTATTATGCCATGAAACAATCTTCCCACAGCCCTTAATGGACTGTTGTTAATCTGTTTCTGCACCGAACATTTTGATATTATACTCACCAGAGACTTCATGACTGCTGTGTGTTCTCTAGATGAAGACGAACAGTATGTATGAGAGAGAAGCGATTTTTCTGTCTTTTTATACCCGCCCGTCCACAACCAGAGTCACTGTAGCGTCGCTGTGTCATCCCATGCAGTGAAGCTTCCTGCTGGTAGCCAGTGCTACCCAAGGTCAGGAAGACGCTAGTAGCAGATTATAAGGAACAGTAGCGTCGTCTATCAGCATACTAAGAGACGAAACATTTAATAAACTGGAAACAAAAGAATAAATTACCCTCTGTTTTACGCATATTTTAAAGCTCAAAGTTCATAGAGTACGAAATAAAATTTACCTCAAGAGCAGATACAAATTTCGGTTGCTGGGACATCCGAGAAATTTATCCACGTATTGCTTATGACCAGTCTCCTCTACCTCAGTGTATGTAAAGGGAATATTGGATGGTGGTCATAAAATTCCAATGCAGCAAAAATATGAATATATTTACATGTCTACATTTGTGCGTATAAATGGAAATGCGTTTTAAAAATTAATTTTTAATATATATATATTATATATATTATATATATATAATAATATATATATATATATAATATATATATATATAATATTATAAATATATATATAATATATATATATATATATTTATATATAATTATATATACATATATATATATATATGCAATAAGATCACAGTAAACAGGTGATTTATAAATATGCTAAACATCCACTGTGAAAGAGTAGTGAAATGTTCAATGTGAGTAGTCACGAAAGCGCTTGAATTTCACTACTCTTTCACAGTTGTTGTTTTGCATATATATATATATATTATTTATAATATATTATATATATATATATATATATATATATATATATTATAATATATATATATATTATATATATATATATAACGCAAATTTTTCCATGATGTACCTTTGCACACTTTCGTGTGCATTTGATCATATGTATATGTGTGAGAATGAATGAATGTATCTGATTTGTGTTTAAGTATGAATGTTGATATATATATATATATATATATATATATATAATTATATATATATATATATTATATTATATATATATATATATATATTATATATATATATATTATATATATATATATATTATATATATGCATGTGCATATGTTGAATTGTTTGGACACTTCTGCATATTTAGGTGTGATTATGTGTGTGTATGTATTACTGTATGAAATGTTGAATGTTTGTATGTATGTATGTAATGGTGAATGTTTGCGTGTATGTATGTATGTATGTAATGTATGTATGTATATACTCACCTTATTGTGACTGTGGGGGTTAAGTCACAGCTCCTGGCCCCGCCTCTTCACTGGTAGCTGCTAGATCGCTCTCTCCCTGCTCCGTGAGCTTTACCATACATCTTCATGCGTAAAAATACTTCCAAACATCCCTGTCTCTGTCGACCTTGTCAATTAATCTTAGAATTTTATATGTCGTTATCATGTCCTCCCTATCTCTCCTGTCCTCCAACGTCATCAGGTCGATTTTCCTTAACCAATAATAGCACCGGCCCGAGGAGTGACCCATCTCCTCATGTACCAGGAGGATTTAGACAAACTTCAGGTGGATTTAGACAAACTCAATACCTGATCAGCAAAGTGGCAGATGCAGTTCAATGTAGATAAATGCAAGGTTCTTAAGCTCGGGAGTGTCCATAACCCTAGTACTTATAAGTTAAATAATGTAGAACTTAGCCATACAGATTGTGAAAAGGACTTGGGGGTTATGGTAAGCAGTAATCTTAAAACAAGACAGCAATGCCTAAGCGTACGTAATAAGGCAAATAGATTATTGGGATTTATATCAAGAAGTGTAAGCAACAGAAGTCCAGAGGTCATTCTGCAGCTTTATACATCATTAGTAAGGCCTCACCTAGATTATGCAGCTCAGTTCTGGTCCCCATATTACAGAATGGACATAAAATCATTAGAAAACATTCAGCGTAGAATGACTAAATTAATACATAACATAAGAAATCTTCCTTATGAAGAAAGATTGAAAATCTCTAAAATTACATTCACTTGTTAGACGAAGAATGAGGGGAGACATGATCGAAGTGTATAAGTGGAAGATGGGTATTAATAAAGGTGATATAGATAAGGTCTTGAGGATATCTCTCCAAGAGAGAACCCGCAGTAATGGATTTAAATTAGACAAGTTTAGATTCAGAAAGGACATAGGAAAGTATTTTTTTGGTTCCTGCCTGACAAATTTACTGACGTTCTTCAATAGAACATTTGAGGCAGTTGACAGTGATAAGGAATATGATATTGTTTATTTGGATTTTAGTAAAGCCTTTGATAGAGTACCTCACAAGAGACTCTTAAGAAAAGTGGCAGCTCATGGTATAGGAGGTAAAGTTCTAGCATGGGTAGAGGCATGGCTTACCAATAGAAAGCAGAGAGTTACCATTAATGGAGTGAAATCTGAATGGGGATTAGTTACTAGTGGCGTTCCACAAGGATCAGTTTTAGGCCCTCTCTTGTTCATAATTTACTTTAATGACCTTGATGAAGGGATTACGAGTGACATGAGTAAGTTTGCTGTTGATCCAAAGATAGGCCGTATAATTCACTCTGAGGAGGATATCAATGAACTCCAGGAGGATTTGGACAAATTAATGTCTTGGTCTGAAAAATGGCAGATGAAGTTCAATGTGGATAAGTGTAAGGTACTAGCCCTTGGTAGTGAAAATAGCCCTCGAAGCAATAATCTAGGTGAAGTAGAGCTTGATCATACAGAATGTGAAAAAGACTTGGGAGTCATTGTAAGCAGAAATCTAAAGGCAAGATAGTGTGTGCAACAAGGCCAACAGATTGCTTGGATTTATCTCAAGAAGTATAAGTAACAGAAGTTGAACATCAAAATGGTATACAATACCGACAGATTGGTAGGTAAGACACATAGGTATTGTATACCATTTTGATGTTCATCTTGTCAGACGCTGCAACAGAAGATGAGGTAATCAGTCCCTCAACCTAGGAGTAGGTGCGAAGAGCACCTACTCCAAGGTTGAGGGACTGATTACCTCATCTTCTGTATATAGTCTACTGTCTTCAAGTTATGTCCTAGAATTTGTATTGATAAAGCCACTGGATGGCGAAACGTCTACAATAAAGATACCCAGATGTTGCACATGTGTCTTAATTTCGTCTTGTCGGTATTATATACCATTCCTGCACAATAGGGTAGTTGATGAGTGGAACAGTCTACATAGTTGGGTTATTGAGGCTAGGACTTTAGGTAGTTTCAAATTTAGGTTGGATAAATATACGAGTGAGAGGGGTTGGATTTGAGTGGGACTTGCAAATGAGTGGATAGAGTTATCAGACCTTATTTCTTGGGTGGCATTGAAAATTGAGTTGGGCAAATGTTTTGTTAGTAGGATGGATTGTAAAGGACCTGCCGAGTATGGGCAACAGGCCTGCTGCAGTGATCCTCCTTTCTTATATTCTTATATTCTTATGTTCCACCCTGTCATGTATTCTCTGATCCACTGCAGTGCCCTTTCTGCCTGCTCCTCTAGGTTTTGCACTAATCTCTTGTGCAGAACGTTTCAAAAGCCTTCTTACAGCCCAAGAAAATGCAATCTACCCAACTCTCTCTCTCTCGCTCTCTCTCTCTCTCTCTCTCTCTCTCTCTCTCTCTCTCTCTCTCTCTCTCTCTCTCTCTCTCTCTCTCTCTCTCTCTCTCTCTCTCTCTCTCTTGTCTTATTTTTGTGACCTTGTCGTAAAACTCCAGTAGGTTTATGACACAGGATTTCCCTTCCCTAAAACAATGCTGATTATCGTTCATAAGCTCATTCCTTTCTAGGTGCTCCACCATTCTTCTCCGTGACTTTGCTTACTATATATATCAATGATACTGGTCTTTAGTTTAGTGCTGCCTATCTCCTTTTTTAAATATTGGGACTACATTTACTGTCTTTCACACCTCAGGTAGTTGCCCTGTTTGATTATGTGTTGAAGATTGTTGTTAGCGGCACACACAACTCCTCTACTCCATCTCTCAGGACCCACGGAAAGATGCTGTCCGGTCCCACAGCCTTTGAAGTACCTGGCTCACTTAGCAGCCTCTTCACTTCCTCCTCTGTTGTGTGTATTGTGTCCAGCACTTGTTGGCATGTCCTGCCATTCTGGCTTTCTGGAATCCTTCCTGGCTGCACTGAAAATACTTTCTTAAAATCTTTTATTGAGCTCTTCACTTACTTCTCTGTCGTTTATTGTGATCTCTCAGCCTTTCTTCCTCAGCCTGATTACCTGGTCCTTGACTGCTGTTTTCCTCCTGATGTGGCTGTACAACAGCTTCAAGTTAGATTTGGATTTCGATGCTATGTCATTTTCGTATTGTGGCTGGGCCTCTCTCTTTACTGTGCATATTCATTTCTGGTTCTTTGAATAATCTCCCAATTTTCCTGGGTCATTTGTCCTCTCTACACCTGGTTGAACAAAGGGCTCGTTCTGGTCCTCCAATTATTTCTGTTACCCTTGTGTACGAACCTCTCCTCCACATCTTTGCATTTTGTTGTCAAATGTTCCATCATTTCCTTTACTGATTTTCCCACCAGTTCTCCTTCTAATTGAATCCCATGCAGAAAATTTTTCATGCCTATGTATTTTCCTCTTTTGTAGTTTGGTTTCTCCCATCCTACTCGTCCTGCTTCCCTCTCCACTTGTAACCATACTATGAATTCGAAGCTCAGGACCACATAATCACTTACTCCAAGGGGCCTTTAGTATATGATGTGCTCAGTATCCGAACTACTCAAGTCCAGTCTTGTTGGTTCATCCTCTCCCTTCTCTTTCTTTCTCTGGTAGTGTCCTTAATGTGTTGGTGCATGAGGTTTTTTTCCAGTACCACCTCCATCATCTTACCCCTCCACGTTTCTGCCCTGCCCATGTGGGCCCCTTCTGACCACCTCAGTGTATCAACCATTTTTTGTTGCTCTCATCATATTCTTGCCTTGGCCTCCTGTTATTCTGTAATTGATTGTTCATCATTGCAATTACCACCTTGGGACCCCCAGCCTGAAGTGTTCCTACTATACAGTCCCTTGCTTTCCCTCTGTCCTTTCCTTCTAA